GAGCGTCGTCTTCAAACCAGCTCTCGAAATTTGGACATTCGACGACCTTAATCAAACTCGCTATTTGTATCCTCTGTCTCGTGATCACTTTTTTTTTTTCATTTTGTGCTCTGATTCCTTCACGGTCCTTAGGGTTTAGGGTTTAGGGCAGAGAGGGTAAAGTTGAAGTCTTTGGCTTTGGTTGTACGACGCTCATGTCGAACCCTAAGCTTACTCGAATTCCGACCTTGCGAGAGCGCGCCGACGACACGCTCTCCGCTCTCCGCAACAAGCTCATCGCGCTTCTCTCCAGGTTTGGTTCTCTTTCCTTCTCAGTTCTTCTGATCGTTTTTCGTTTTACCCTTTTCGGGATTACGGGTTGAAGTGATGCCGTCTTTCTGTTCGTTTCCCGAGAAAATTCCGACTCTTGTTACTGAAATTTGTAAGGGTTTGTGTGTGCGTTTTGGTGGGACAATTGAAGGTACGTGAATCAGGGGAAAAGGGGTTCTGCAACCGCATAACCTGATCCACGAGCTAGAATTTGTGATCGGAGATGATGAAACGAAGTCTGCAATGGTGAATTTCCTTTTTTTTTGGCACTGAAATGTTGTAGTCTGATTATTCTCGTTCTTCTGCCTACGCCCATGAGTCGATAGGAATTATGGGTCTTTATCTGTATGCTGTGCAAACGCAAGCTATGTTTTAGTGTTTGGAAGTGTTTCAAGTGTTTGTGCTAAATTTATGTAGGAAGCCATAATTGTGCCGCCATAGCTGTTAGGCCAAGACCTGGCATTTGGGAATACGGACTTGGAGCAATTACCGGTTTCTGAACTTGCAGATGGAGAGTAAGCAAGCATGAACCTTGATTTTATGATTGAAAGAATACACTGGGGATCCTTGAATTTTTTTGTGGCTGAATATATATGGCAGGATTGATGATCCTTTCCAGTTTGAGATTGAGTTTGAACCCTTCGATGCTAATGTTCCTCGCTCTACATGTTCTTCGTCTATTGGTAATGGTGTTCAGTTTCTCAATCGTCACTTGTCTTCCATCATGTTCCGTAACGAAGACAGTTTGGAGCCTCTTTTGGATTTCCTTTGAGCTCTCAAAGTTCATGTCAATTCTCAGGCAGTTTTTGGAATGCTTCTTTTCATATATATATATATATATATATATGAGATCGGTACGAGGGTAAGATAATAAACAACAGACGAGAGAAAGTTAGGGAAGGAACTCAAGTTACAATTTCGTATTAGGATCTAATTAAGCTTGATACTTGTGATGAACCTTTTTTCAGCCGTTAATGTTGAATGACCAAATCCAATGCATATCCCGGCTTCAGTCTTTGCTCAGAAAGATGGAAGATTATGTCTCTCAGCTTCCACCAGAAACTCTTTTTTTCAGAGTTCGAATACTCGTAAGCTAAATTTTGCATCTTCTGTGTTAGTTTTTCTTGGTAAAATATCGGTAGAAACGGGGTTGTTGCCTGTTTTTTTTTCCTGAAAACGGGCTGCTAGGAATGGGCTTCGAAATTGGGTGGGGCCGCGCGGAGACACAGCAGCTCGTGTGCTGGAGATTAGGTATCTTCTGTCTGATGTTCTTCAAGCTCCTGATCCTTCATCGCAAGAGAAATTTTTGTGGATGTTTTTTAATGTTGTGACTTTGTCATCCCATGGATATTTGGGGCAAGCCAATGTTTTGGGATTCCCTGACACTCGTGCGCAGGTAACCCGGCTAGCCTCGTTCTTATTCTTCGCCAGCTGATGAAAATTGCATCTTAATGCTGTGATCTTGTAATTGCAGTTTGTTTCCACTTCAAGATAATGAATGGCTTTATGCCTTAGAGATGCTTTTCGTGTATCGATATTAGTGTTTTCTCCAACATATGATGCGTTTATGGAAGGAACTCTGGTTTTTTTTTCTGTGGTTTTCAAAGGTAAAAAGGTCGATGCAAAAGGGACTACTTACAACCAAAGGCTGAAAAGAGACAGCAGAACAGAACACGCTCACATTCTTCGAGTTGCTTTTAGTTCAGATAAGGGATTCTTTCCTAAGTGGATTTCAAGATTTGATGTCTGGCCCTAAACTAAACCCTGGCCAGACCGATGAGCATGTGTGAGTTCTTCTACATTTGACTCTTGGCTGGTCCATTACGCAACATTAAAACAGTTTCTGGGTGTGTAAGTTGATTTACCGTCTGCTGCTTCTATGTGGTGTGCAGAGGTATATTGCACGACCGGTGGAAGCCACTACTCTTCTGTATGGCAAGGTTAAACAATGTGAAGAACATTTCATGTACGGAAAGAATTCTCGACTTTGGGAGCTGGTGAATCTGGTTGTGATTGCTGGTTACATAGATGTCAACAGGTCCAAAAGCAGGTATGAAATTGCAGAGATTGAGAAATGCAATCTTGATGGTCAGTCCCGTTTGGATCACTGCTCAACCAAGCCGACACAGGAGGTGCTTTTGTTCAGGTACCTTCCTTACAAGTCAATTCTCATGTTTGTTGTCTGGTTTTTTTTTTTTTGTACAGTCATAGAAGCTATGATATGCGGGCAACCGACGTTTGCCACAAGCCATGGTGACCCTGCAGAGGTCATCGAGCACGGGATATCAGGTTTCCACATCGATCCTTACCATACCCATTACCACCCCGACCAGGCTGTTAACCTTAACCTCATGGCGGTTTTCTTGGATAGTTGCTTGCAAATGAGGAAACAAAGGATATTTGACGACCAAAACCTCGAAAGAGTG